GAGAGTATGGACCAATACTATTATTGATGGGTAGTATGTTTTAGAATTTGTCACAAGCTTAAAATGATGAAACATAGACTTAAACAATGGACAAAAGTTACTTTTGGGAATCCGAATGGTAGGATTCTGTGGGTCTCAAATAATTTAGAGGTGTTGAATCACCTAGAGGAATTTCTGGGTAGTCTAAGTGAAGATTAAAATCCCCAAAGGGAATGTCTGAAATTTAAATTAGTGGATCGTTTTAAAGAGGAGGAGGTTTATTGGTTTCAGATATCTAAATCTCAATGGATTAAAGAGGATGACAATAATACAAAATAATTTTATGCCATTACTAATTCTCGTTGAAGGTCTAACAGTATCAACTCTATCCAAATTTTGGGGGTGGTACAAGGAGACATGCAAGGAGTCCAAAATGTTATTGTGTCATGTTTCTAAAATGCTTTTACGTCTAAGCCAATAATTCATTATTCTATTAATCATTTGCCTTTTAAGAGGTTATCTTCTATGAGTGTCTTGGATCTGGAGAAAGTTTTTTCAATGGCAGAAATTGAGCAGATTGTCTTCAGTCTTCCTCAAGATAAGGCATCGAAATATTATCTCGTTTTGCCAAAATGCCTTTACATATGAGCCAAGAATTCATTGGTCTATTAATTATTTTCCTTTTAAAAGGCTATTTTCTATGAGTATGTTGGGTCTGGAGAAATGTTTTCAATCGGTAGAAATTGAGGAGGTTGTCTTCAATCTTCCTCGAGATAAATTGCTAGGACCTGATGGATTTCAAATGAATTTTTTTCAAGACTTTTGGGAGATTATGAAATAAGATTTTTTGTTATTTTTCCAGCAGTTTTATGAGGATAGGATGATTTTCAAAGCTTTAAATTCCACATTCATTGCACTGATCCTCATGAAGCAGCATATGGAGTCCCTTCAAGATATTAGACCCGTCAGCCTGTTTTCCTCTACTCATAAGATTTTTGTGAAGGTCCTAGCTAATAGACTCAAGAAGGTGACTGGTTAAGTCATCCAAGGCCCACAATCAACTTTTATCAAAGGTAGGCAAATCATGGATCGTATTCTTGTTGCACAAGAGATTATTCATTCTATCCATAGCCAAGGAAGAAAGGGAGTATTGCTTAAGATAGATTTGGAGAAGGCATATGATAGAGTGAAATAGGATTGTCTGGATCAGGTTATGAACCTTATGAAGTTTACTGAAAGGTAGAAAAAATATATAAATGGATGCTTGTCTTCGACTCATTTCTCAATTCTGGTTAATGATAAACTTGCAGTTCTTTTAAGGCATCGAGGGGTATTTGTCAAGGGGACCCTCTTTCGCTATTACTCTATACTATTATCGAGGAGTTTTTTAGCGCTTGTTGGTATTGTGGAAAGCAATCTAATTAAAGGCTTGCAATGAGTTATGATGATCTGCTTATAACCCACATTCAATATGCAGATGAAACCTCGTTGGTTGTAGAGGGAGACATGGTGCAGATCCATAATCTCAGGTTATTTCGTCGATGTTATGAGGTAGTCTCGGGGGTAAGAATTAACATACATAAGACAACGTTGTTGGGTATTAATTATTCAAATGACGAAGTCAATGAATGGGCAGCTTGGTTAGAGTGCCAAGCGGACAATTTCTCTGCTAAATACTTAGGTATCCCTCTAATGGACGGTCTGTTATCTAGAGCTGCATGGGATCCAAACATTCAAAGGTTTCAGAATAAGTTGAATGGTTGGAAGGGAAATTATCTTTCTTTTGGAGAACAAATAACCTTAATTAATGCCACTATGGAAAACCTTCTTATTTATTACTTCTCCTTGTTCAGGGTGCCACAATATATTATCAAGATTCTTGAATGCATGATGAGGGCCTTTTTATGGAGTAGGTCACAAGACAAACGAAAATTCCATCTAGTTAATTGGCAGATTGTATCTTTTCCCAAAAAGGAATATGGATTGGGAATTAGAAAACTTAGAGCAATCAATGATGCTCTTCTCACTAAATAGTGGTCGAGGGCCTCTTCTTCGCCATCACAACTTTGGCTTCAGATCATCATTGCCAAGTACGGATGGGACTCAATCTATGTGGCTCTAAGGAAGTTATCAAGGGGATGTCCGGCTTCTTCAGTTTTGAGGGGCATTAACTCAGTGAGAACCTTGTTTGTGGCACACAGTAGGATTTTGGTGGGAGATGGATTGAATGCATCCTTCAAGAATTCGAGATGGATGGGTAGTTGCTCATTAAAGCCGCAGTTTCTGCAACTTTACTTCAAATCGACTCAAAAGTCCACCAAAGTCAGGGACATCGTGGGATATCATGCAGGTCAGGTGTTGTGGATTGTACTGTTAAATGTTGGATTGATAGATCATGAGGTAGAATTTCAGTACTCTAATTTCATGAGAATGTTATATGACTTTTGTTATACATCTTCTAGAGGGGATAGGGTGGTTTGGGAGTTCGAGGTGTGGGTTGCTTACTCTCTTAAATCCATGTATAAGTGTATTATAGAGGACAAATATATCCCTCATAATCTATAGTGCAAAAGAGTATGGAGTTGTAAGGCCCGGTTAAGGGTAAGTGCTTTTCTTTGGCTTTTTAGTCGGGAGCGACTCTTGACTATTGATCACTTGCTGAATAGGGGTGTATTGATAGTTAACGTACGCATTCTGTGTAAACAAGAGGCTAAGTCTGCCTCTCATATCTTTCTAACTTGCACGACACGAGGTGGTATTTGGGCTTGGCTTCTTGTGAACTGCAATTGGTTCTAGGTTATGCCTCTCCACATCAGTGGTATCTTTAAGCAGGGATGGTTACCACCGTACTAAAATTTTGCCCTTGCTTTATGGAGAATATGTGTGGTCCTTGTCTTACGGATTATATGGAAGGCGAGGACTTCAAGATATTTCGAAGGCAAGGCAAAAAGTATGGATTAGATCAAAGAGCCAAGTCTTAAAACAATTATTATTTGGGCCCAGGCCTAGCCAGCATATATGCTCGTTCAGAAGGAGCTTTTTGAGTCTCATCTTAAAGACTTGATGGCTTACAAAAAGAAGAGGATAATTAAGGTTGGTGATTAAATTCCTCCTGCAAACATGTGAGAGAAGCTCAACTTTGTGGGACTGTTAGGGATAATAGACAGGTAGCAATTTATAGGGGACTACTTAGGAATAGTGATGGAAAGATCTTATAGACTTACAATGGTAGTTTATATCCCTATATTGCCAACGAAGAGGAATTATGGACTTTATTCTATGGAGAGAGAAGACTCACATAGTACTTAGCACAAGTAGTTATCAAAAGGGATTCTCTTAATGTCATTAAGTGATGCAATTCCATGGCAGTGGATTCAGATTTTGAAGCGTATTTTCTTGGAGCTTCAGGGTTGGGAGGAGGTTTTTAATCATATCAATCAAGACAGAAACGGAGCAATAAATTCTTTGGCCAGGGATACTGAGGCGTTTATTTCTTTTCTTCTTGTTTGTTTTTCTTCTCTCCTTTTCTTTTTTCCTTTTTTTGTTTCTTCGTAGTACTTTTCATCTTCACTCAATGAAAAGAAAAGATCATTAACTGTCCATATATATATATATATATATATGGAAAAGTTTATATAAAGCCGAGGCTTGAAACAATCAAATTAAAACCTACCTCAAAATTTTCACTAGAAGAGGTTGTTTTGACGCACAAATATTCTCAAATTGATCATCTCCACATAAAGATACAGAGAAAAAAATGGATTTCAAGTATTGAAAATAGTGTATTTTGTAATGTATTTTTGGACCATCAATTTTAAAGATTTTCAAGTTTTCATAGATCTATCGATCAACAGTATTTTTGAAGCTTTAAACTTTATAAATAAAGATGAAAATATAATTTAAGACTATCACACTGATTTTCAGTAATGAAACCATATTTCTCAATGCTATTTGAAGGTAGGGTCTAATTTGATTGTTTAGAACCTAGGCTCTATACAAACCACACCCATGTGCATGTGCATGCTTGTATCAATCTAAAGGCGCCCTTATCCTCTACAAAGATATTGGTCGGGAGCAGCGCAACCTACCAATAAAAACACTATTTTCCTATTTGAAAGCAAGAATAAGCACATCTCACGAATAGGAATGCTCATTGCAAGAAGAGGTCTAACGTGCTGATTGGATGCAATGATAATGCAATTGCTTGGTCTGGATGTAAGCATAACCCATAGTGAGACTAGAATGAGTTGGATGGGCCTGCCCTAAAAACTAGGGTCTAGGTCACAGAATAGGCCTAAGGGCCGGATCCTAGCCGGCTACCACAGCACAAGGGTTGGGCCGGGCAGGGCTTTGGCATAAGGTCACAAGCTGGCCTGACCTGTTTTTTTCTCTCTAACGTGGTGCAATTTTAGTGATCTAATTTAGTTGTTCTGCCAGTTGTTCCCAGCAACCGAACATGCAGGATCAGTTTTCGGTCTTTTGCTTCTTTGTATCCAGAAGACGAGCTGTAGCAAGATACCAACCATGACACCGCAAGTTTATACAGAGAAATGCCACTGGGAAACATCGCTCTGGAGCTGAATAGTTGGCAAATTATTTATCCCCACCATCGTAATCATGGATCTAGGAAATAAAACAAAACAAAGCCCCAAAGGAATCTATCATGCAAAGTTTTTTGTTCAAAAAGAACAATCCGCCAAACTGCACTACTTTTAGAACTTCAAATCCCAGGGTCCCGCGAAAATAGCAGGCCATCACAAAAATTTCCATGCTCAATCTAATTTTCAGGATCTTGAGGCAGCCTTTCCAAATTTCATAAAGCTGCAGCCTTCCCAAAACCTCATCCAACGATAAAAAGCTACTACATCATATCCTATAAAAAACTCAATTTTCATGGTTTCAGAAATTTCTAAATGTGAGTTGAGCAAGTCCTCAACCCTTAGCAATCAGGGATCACAATACATTCTGAAATTCATTGGGAGTATTCTTCCATTCGACTATTAATAGTAGATCTGCCATTAATGTATATCCCCATATGATTTACTTTTATTATATTGAATTATGTCACTTCAAGATAAAAAGTGATAAGAGATGAAAAGGGCTAAAAGCTAAATACAAAATTGTTAATTATTGCACGATTAAAAATGCAAAATCTCTCTCTCTCTCTCTCTTTCTCAAAAACAAAAGGTGGGTGTTGACTCGTAGAGTCAAGCGCAGAGACGGTGTGTGAAGCCAAAAGACCAGGTTATTTTCTGGATAATGTCCTTACCAGAGTAAAGAATAAAAGTGTCACTCGTGTCAAAACTGTAAATAAGGGTTTTAATCATGGGGCCATAAGCCCTTCGATGGTGTAAGACAAGGACTCCGCCCAGTCGGCTCTGAAAAGCAGTGTGTGCAGTGTTTGCATCACATTGTAGCCTGGGTCAAGCTTGCGCTGCCACCCCTGCAAGACATTTTCAAGCACGTGAAGAAAGAGGATCAATTCAAAACCTAAACAAAACAAACTATCTTCCAAGGATTGCATTATAAAGAATCTAATGAGTGAACTTTCCATGGTCCTACTTCCTACAGGAATATTAAAAAATCTTATCACTTTCGATTATTTTCTGAGCTCCATATCATTTCTTTTTCCCTTTAACGAGGATGTTTTTGGCTCAACTCCAAATAAAGTTGATTTGGAGTTCTAATACCCTTGGATCTAGGTCCATTGACAGCCTAAACATTGTTTCAAAAAGTGGTCCATACGGCACCTCCGTAAGGACCTTAGGGTGGTGTATGCCCAAGCCTGGGCAGCCCTCCCTAGGCGCCCTGTCCTGGGCAGACGCCAAGGTACTAGACCCCTTGTTTTTGAGATTAAAGGGCTTCTAAGGGCACTTTGGGTCATTTTGACTCACGAATTTTACATAAATAACTATTGGGGGTATTCTCTAAACCCCCAACGAGAAAAAATAATAATCGAATATAAGCCCCCAAGTCAATTGACTTTGAGATTTCTTTGAAAAGGAAAAAGAATTTGCGGTCTAAAAGCATCCAAAAACTTGCACTTATTGTTGAAATTTTTTATACGGTGCTAGTGAAGGTTTTTGTATTTCATCATCTGGTTGAGATTATTTTCCCATGTCACTATGGCGTATGTCATACTCAGTTTGGATCGGACAGTACACACCATGGACCTGTTAATGTTTTTGACATTTTCTACAAAATTTTTAATGATGTGAAGTTTTGAACATGTTTCAACATTCATGCGTATATAACTGCATGGAAAGAGTTAGTTTCAATACATATAAATGCAAAAATATACAAAATGAACACAAATATCTGCATATATGTGCTTTTCAACAGTACACATGCAATTTTGCAAAACTTTTCACCTTAGGGTGCCAAAGGTTCTAGGCGTCCACCCAGCGCCTAGGTGCTGGGTGCCAAACCAGGTACCTAGGGGCCGTCTAGCTTTCTCTGAACCACTGAGCCTAAATTTGTTTTTGGAGTGGCAATAGATTTGGAACATTTTAGAAGTATTTGGAGCATTTTTGGACTTATAAATCATTTATTTATCTAGAAAGATTATTTTTGAAATGGACAAGACTGATTCAGAACCTTTTTTTTGTTTTATTATCTCGCCCACCTCAAGTGGTTTTGGTTAAGGATGGACATCATCTTTTAATGTTTCTTAAGGAACATAAACGGTTTTATATAAATAATTAAATTTCTTATTTTTGAATGTTACCAAACCTGATCCTTCTTAATGTTTGATCACACATAGTCTATGACTCTCTGAATTTAAGAGACTTAAAATTAGTTCGTAATACGCTGCTTGAAGACATTACCAAACTCTCCAAGAAAAATACTTATCTAGCCACACAGTAAGGCCACTATTTTTTGGCCTGCTTCTAGTTCTGGATATGCATCAGTAATTATGTAGAATTCGGTTAGCGGATGCAAAGTTCTCAAGGTTTGAGGCTGCGTTTCAGAGGGGCTATTGCAATAAAGACCCAACATGGTTAAGGATGCAGTGGTGGTCAGCAATGGTGGTCAACGGACCACTGCTTGCTAGCACCTTTTGCAATTGGGCGGATATTGAAAATGCTGCTCTTAGCCCATGTTGAATGACCGGAAGGAAAAGACCTCACGAGGCAATGGAGCCCTGCGCTTGTGAGAATGGAAATTTGAGGCTATTTACAAGTGAAGCCTGAGATACACAACTAGAAAAAACAGTCTCCAAGCTCTAACATGAATATTTCCGAATGAAACACCATTACTCATAACAGGTAATGTTGAATATAGTGACAAGAACAGCTGGTTATGTGTGTGCGTGCATGCATGCACATGAGAGAGAGAGAGAGAGTACCTCAAGAACCAAAGTGGTGACCAGCACTGTGCATACGTTACCATCAATATTGACTTTATGGCGCCGAACATACTCAAGTAACTGTTGTATGCACTCTGCAGGGTGGACAATATCACCCTCAGGGGTCCCCCAAAAATCAAAGGATTTCTTGACTTCCTATCATAATCTCAATAGAAAGAAAAACTCATATAAAAATGTCACCAGATGGAAAATTTTGCAGAAACAAGCAAAAAATAACAAAATTATTGAAGGATTATCATTGCCATGGATTTTTTTTTTTCTTGGAAATTGTTAACTGTTATCATTGCCATGGATTTTATTTATTCCTGAATTCAAGAACTCAGTGATCAGCAGATATCATCCACAAACAGACACCATGGTTCCTCTAAAAATCCTTATTACTACAATTATTTACATAATAAACTTTCTATTGGTTGGTATTATAGAATATGGAATTATAATTACAAGTCAAATGTCACACTAGCTGACTGCCCTACTCAAAAAGGGCTTATGAAGTTTTCAAAGGCCCAAAGAAGGTTCTGAAACACATCAAAGTACTTCTTTTCAGATAGGTTATATGAGTCTTTCACTATCAAGAAATAGAATGAACCAATCAAAACGTCAACGTCATATAGGTTATAGATTAAGGATTTGCGTGAAACATGAGCAAATGGTGCAGCCAGTTTAAGCTTCAGAGCCATACTACTGGAGCATTTTGCTTGTAGATAGCTGCTCAAGAGATCCCTTGAGATTTCGTTTAAAACATGCATTTCTTCAGTAGTTCAATGATGCGTGCCTATGTAAAAGAGTCATTTCAATATTTCAGGTTTCCACAATTAGTCCACCCATTTCTAGAAAGAACAATTGTTTCATGCGGGGTGGACTGCATTTGTACAATATGCGATCCAGATGTAT